CCCCCGCGCCGCGGCGACGTCTGAGAGGCACTGTTGCCAGGAGGCAATATACGCCGCACTCCTCGTCAAACGAGCTGACTGCAGCCCCAAGCCTCCGTCCCGGCACGGCAACCACAGCAGCCGTTGCTGTTGCAGGGTGAGCTGGGCGCCCAGAAGCTGCTCCAGGAAGGCAACCGCTCGGCCGTCGTATTCTTCGCACCACTCCTCGTTCGCAAAGCACCCTCTGAGCAGGTGGTTGTTGGCCCCGCCGACGAAGGTGCGGAGCAACGCGAAAGCGGTCTGAACGCGCAGCCCCGCGGCTAGCAGTGCTCGCGCCCTCCCCAGGAACACGTCCAAGGCCTCCAGCGACGCCTGGAAACGGCTGTCTGGCACAAGAGGGGCCCCGAGGCGATGCTGGTCGTCTTCGTCGAGAGCCGCTGTGGTGAAGCGCATGGCGTTTCCGAGGCGTCGCAGCTCGTTAACCCTCTGGATATCGACCTGCGCCGGCATCGGTGCAGCCGGTCTGGGCACCCACAGTTTGGACTTGGCAAGCTGGAGCTCCAAACCGATGCCCTGCAGCGCCTCCCTCGTGACAGTGACGGCTTCCGCGGCGAAGCGAGAATCGATGGCGACAAAAACATCGTCCAGGTAGGCATGCACCCGCGCCTGCGGATCTACAGAACGAAGCCGCTGATCGATAGTCGCCAATGCCGGGGCCAGCGCAGCGCAGAACAATCCCGGGCTCAAAGGGCAGCCTTGGTCAACTCCCCTGGCGGACTGAACTGGCCAAGCCTTTCCGGAAGAATCCCAAAACCAATGCGTAGATGAACCACTGTACCACGCATCAGCTATGCGACCCAGGAGCGTTCCTGCACAAGCTGTCCGTATTGCCGGCCGCGTAATCATGTTGAATGCATTTTTACAATCAAAAGATAAGAACGCTGCAGCAGGGCGCTCTTCAGCTGACGCCACGAGGATTTTGTGCATGACCTCCACTCCAGCCGGCCTGGATATGCCATATTGGTGTGGCCCCCCCAGCTCGCGGAGTGCGTCAGCCTCCACTTTGCACGCCGCCCGGGCGATGATGCGCCGCAGAATGCTGCCACAGGATAGCGGCCTGACGCCTCCCTCAGCTTTCTTCAGAGCCATCAAACGGCCACCAAGATGAGCCTGGAGAATGTCCTCCGGCACCTCTCCGAACAAAAGACTGGTGAGGACGACGCCGGCTGCCTGCAAGTCTTCGGGGTGATGTCGCACCGTCCCCCAATGCTCGTACCTGGACCCTGACGGCCCCGCCCCAGCAAGCCGCGGAAAGCGAGAAATGCGTGCAGCGACTTCCCTTTCAATGGCGGATCTCTGCTGCGCGTCCGGCGCTTCCACCTCCATGCCCGCAGGCGGGGCCATCGCCAGTCTGGAAACATCAGGGTCGAACAGCGCCTTGAGCTTCTCGGCGGTGCCTGGGCGACCCTCCATGTCTGACTTCCCGGATAGGGCGGCCGTGGCTTTCGACACCTCGCCGGCCAGCAGCAGCGACTCGATCCTACGGACCTCTGCGTCTGTAGTGCCCGTGGACGTGGAATACCTGGCCTCTCGACCACATTGCCGTGCCAAACTCCAGAGTTGCTGCCAAGAGCCCCTCCAGAACAAGTGCAAACGATGCGAAATGATGTGGTCAACCTTTTTCTGTTTCGCCCCCTTGCGCGTGGAAGTTCGAGCAAAAAGTAGGCGGTCCATGTAATCCAGAAGCTTCCACAAACGAGCAGCCTCCACATTTCGTGGCTCACACTGCTGTAGCGCCACCAACACTGCCGCCCGGGCCTCGGCGCAGGCGTGGAGAAGAGGCTCCGGGATGTTGGCAATCGTAGAGACCCACTCCAGATCTCTGGCCGCCACGTGATCCCACCAATCCAGATGTCGCAAAGCGCCGTCCTCAAACGCGCCATCAGGATCATCCGCCTCTGGGACCAGAGGCGGGTCGGCAGGCTCAGGCTCCTCGGGTTGCACGCGGTGTCGACGCCTGCGTTTGCTTGCCACGTAGGCCTCCCGGGACATCCCCTCCCCGTCGGCGAAGGCGATGATCTGTGCCCGCGTTTTTTCCCCGACCTCCGAAACCCCCTCGATGTCCTCCAATGGTCCTAATCCTCCTGGGACGCAGGCGGGGTGGAAGTGTTTGCCTTGTCGAAGGTCCGAATGCCGTGACCGAACCCGAGCGTCGCCAGGCTCGAAAGGACGATGGCATGACCTGCGCGCAGCTGTCTGCCTCCGAGCCGGCTGCTCGGTGACCGCCCAATCAGCGCACGCCTGGCCAGCTGGCCCTGGATGGGAGGTTTCCCCGATGCGTTGTCCCCGCAAGCCGTAGCGTGCCGAAGTACGCCTGCTCCTGAATGTGGATGGGGATGCCGATGGGAGAGCCTGCACGACCGCAGGCCACCGGAAGCCGATCAGGGGGTCCCACACGACGTCGTTCGCAGCGTTGTGGAACTCCTGCTCGTACGCTCGCCTCCGGCGGGCTGCAGCGCGGGCCCGCTCTGCTGCCGCCCGGGCGGCTCGCGAGAGGCGAGGCGGCGGCACCGGGTTCACAGAGACTGCCGCGGTCGCTGATACCCCTGCCGACTTTCCGAACACAGCAGTCGCAAAGATGATCCAAGGCCAAACGATGCAATGGAAAGCTGAATGATGAGAGAAAGAGAACATCGACAAATGTTGGACGCAGAGTTTGGATGGTGGGCGGGAGGATTCGGTCTGCGGAATCGCCGCCTGATCCTCCTCCTCCTCCTCCTCCTCCTCCTCCTCCTCCTCCTCATCTCCGCCTCCGCCTCCTCATTTTCCTTTTCCTCCTCCTCCCTATCTTCGCCTCCTCCTCCTCCTCCTTCTCCTCCTCCTCCCCCTCCTGGTCGTCGTCGTCGATGTTCGCGAGCGCGAAAGACACCCGTACCTTATCTAGACAGGGTGGCAAGGGTCTGGTGAGGCGGTTCGTCGCAGCTGCCGGCGGCTGCACAAGTGTAGAAGCAACGGCCGATCGAGCATTGCAGACCGCTGTCTTCTCCAGGCGCACGTTGGCACCGGTCGCGCGTGCGCTCGAATCGGCGGAGTGGCCGACCCCGCGTTGGTTGCTGTAGATGTAGACCAGCTGCATAGGAGGCGCGCCCCCAGAGACACATATCCTGGCGTTGAGGAATCAACGCGCACTCGGGGGTGCATGCGAAAAATTCTGGCGCGAACGTCACAGCGCGACAACCGCCCAATCGCGAATTGATCGATGCAGAAACATCGCGGCTTTGAGCGCTGGGCGATGTCGCCAAAAGCCCCCTTGGACGGCCGTCCGCGGATCAACCCAGCTAGGTACGATTGCCCCCCAAAAACTATTTATAAACAAAAAAAACCGTACCTAGCCGGGGGGTCGCAGCTCCACCCCAGCTAGGTCCGGGTATGTTTCGGTGGTTTCAGGCAGGTCCCCGTGCCTAGCCGAAGTGGCGGCAGGCCCAAAACGCTCTCGAGCACATCACATGCCCTCCAGAACCGTCCCCAACGTGGCCGCTGCGGCCCCCCCGGGGCGCGACATTACAACGTCGTTCCTCGGGGCATGCCCAGACGCATTGATTGCCAGGATGATGGCGAGGAAACGCATCTTGTTATCAATTGGGACAGGCGCCACCACATATGGGCGGCTTTGAGCAGCGCGCGCACCATGATGCCCCGAGACGCCCCTCACAAAAACCAGCGCTTGTCGCTGCAATCAGACACCCAACCATCGAGCGCGCCGTGGCGCCTTGACACGCGGATGCTGCACTGGCGCGCGCGGGGCAAGCTGACCGGGCACAATTGCAAACGCCCAGTCCCCCGGACGGCCCATCTCACCTTGGCTGGCCCCGGGTACGGGTATCTTTCGGACCAATGAGATGTCTTTCAGGGTCGGCGGCACCGACCCTCAGGCGTTCATAATTTGCTAGTAGAAGTACGCTAAAAGTGGGCTAAAAGTGGGCGAACGTTCGGCTACAACTAAGCTTAAAGTGGGATGCAGTTCAGCAGTGGGAGACGCAGCGAAATGATCAGGCAAACAAGACAGGACGAATGAGGGGCAGGGAGAAAGGGGAGGTGGAGGAGGGAATGACTGTCCAATACCCGCTGAAAAATAAAATGGCGCACATGGACACTTGCTCCCGCGCCCCTACGCGCACACAGGACAACCGCGCGGGCACCAAAGATGCACCAGGGCGCTGCGCCCTCGCAATGAGAACGAATGTGCCCTCACCGCATGGGCCACATAAGCGCGAAAACATAAACCTGGGAGCCTAAACCCTAAGCTAAGATCAGCAGGTAGCCAAAACGGCAAGCGGGAATACGATTTCGGCAGACGGAAATACCTAAACTGCGTCGGGCCTCAAACCTGAACCTCTACACCCGAATGTTTGGCCTCTGGACCACAGCTCGGAACTCCAGCGGCTGTTCGGGACAGTCCGGACACCCCCGGAACGCTCCCGGCGAGGCGTAGCTGCTGGAACGTATCCCGAGGCAGGAAAACCTTCAGGAACCAACGAACACACGCCCGAAACGCCCAAATCCACACCGACTCACCTCACTGAGTATCGTGTAACCGATCCCCATCCCCAGCGGCGTGGCCTGGGCCCCACTGGCCGATTTGCCCTCCTGGATGGGGATATAGGCTGCTCCCTTCGGGTTTCGAGGGGTGTATCCCCGACTGGGGGGGTAATTTGGTGGGGTCTCGAAGGGGGTGGGGATGGGGATGGGGATCGGTTAAACGATACCGACCTTAGCTGCCCCGATACGCAACACGCAACACGTATCGGATTGATACGGAGCTCAACACGTTGGCTGAAGACGTAGGTCCGACGCGACACACTCGCCAAAACGTGGTCCAATACGTGGAGCCAACACGCAACGTACTGACAGGGACGTCTTGAACAAGGGACGTATTGCGTTTCAGAGCGGGCGTATCGAGGCAACTAAGATACCGACTCGCGGGGTGGTCACCACACCGTCGGGGGGTCCCCCGAAGAGTCCTCCCAGCGGCAGCAGGCAGCTCGCCCCGCGCTGGCAGAGCGGCTCGGGCCGCTGGAGGCGGCCTGCAGCCGGGGCCAGGGCTCGCCCATCCACACCCCAGGCCACGCGCCACCCGCCATGCGGCGGCCGCGAGGGCGTCTCGAGGCAGCGGGGCAGGGCAGATCGGCGCCACCACCACCAGCCCAGATCTCCAGATCTCCGACGACGGGATGCTTTCAGGCCAGGCGTTTTTCCTCGATGTCGGCTCCTGGGTGCCCTCCACGGGCCCCGCGACCAGCAGCCCGTGATCCGAAACCAAACAACGATCCTCGAGAGACGGGTCGTGGCCTCCTGGGTCCCACGCGTGGAAGAAGCAGACTCTCGGATATCCATGGGCACTTGTCTTCGTTTCGCTGGCCTTGGGCGTCTCTCGCGCCTCCGGGGCCTCTCGGAGGCCCGCTGCTCTCCCACGGCTGGCTTCGCTTCGAGATCCTGGCCGGGACACTGCCCTGGAGAGGACCAGGGGCAGCGGGGAGGCACCACCACCGCCGCGAGGGGCCGGGGAGGCAGCCTTGCTTGGTGTGGGTGCCCCTGTAGGGCAGCGTCCCGTTCGAGATGCTTCCCCTCTCCAGCTCGGGGAGGCGTCGCGGACCTCCTCGCTGGAGCTGGCCCGCGGGTGGCGCTGTCGCCTCCCCATCTCTCCGGCGATGGCGAAGGGGCCGAGGATTGCGGGCTCGCACCGAATCCCTCGGGCCCACCTCCGCGAGGGCGACTTGAGCCGATGCTACGGCCGACTCGGCCCAGCTTGGAGGCGGGCGAGGGGAAGGAGGGGGACCGTAGCCATTTTGGCTCAAACTAACGGCTCAAGCTCTCATGCTTCGCCTACCGTTACCTGGGTGTTGCCGTCTACCTCTATATGTCGCGCCACGCTAACTGCTACCCGAGGCACGACACGACGGGTCCCGACGAGACCACGACGTCGTATACCGAGGGACCTCACGGCCAGATCGGAGTATGGGTCCAGGTCTTTTACCCGCTCCCATTTACACTCTTCCACGGGTCCTCATCTAACTGCTGGACGCAGTTACTCGCCAAGATGTCGCAGAATCCGAACGGCGCCTACGGCTACTACGTCTCCGACATCCAGGCGGCCGTCAAGCACTTCTATAAGTATGCTGAGTCCAGAGACGTAGACGTATACCCAGCTACTTCTCCAAAAGGCTACTACCAGCCAGTACCAGACGAGCACGAGGGCCTGGGTCCGCACTGGCAGAACCCTATATCATTACACCGCAACTACTGGATTACGCGGTCCAGCTACCTGAACATCAAGACTGAAACATGCACGGACACTACGATTTTCCAGGTATACATCCCTAGTGTTGGTAAGACGTGCATGCCACAAATACCGACTTACCCTACGCCCAACGTCGGCGACTTGAAGGAGGCTACGTCCTTACTCGTGCATGGACCGGTACTCCAGCACTCCCCCACTGAGATGTTCACCAAGATGGATCTCTACGACTCGTTCCACCAGAACACCATCTTCAAGAACGGCGAGAACCTCGTCTACAACCCTATCAAGAACGGGGGCACCCGCTACCTCGGCCACTTCATCAACCAGTACAGCGACTTCCAAGAGACCCCAACAGTACCTGCTACAGGTGACGTGAATGACCCGCCACGGGTGAAGATTTACGAAGGTTCGCCGTTCTTGTCTACGCAGGGTACGAAGCATCAGCGTACCGATTGAAGTCTACAAGAGAAGTTGTAGTACAGAGCTACAGCTTCGAAGTCATCTTCCTTGCATACTCTTTGTGCCTCTTTTACCTTCTGTGCAAGACGTTCAGTACTACCTTCATCATTACTGCAAAAGTCTAGGTCCTCAGAGGACTACCTAGTCTCAACCGGGGGGGGGTGACCTACGACGTCACCGGTTGCACTCCTCCTCCCTGAGGCCCACGGCAACGCCTCCCCCCTCCACGCAGATAGACGATAGCCCCCCCCCCCCCCCCTCTACCTCCCTCCTCGTCGCCAGGGTCAACACAACCCCATCGGGGGCGCAGGCGGACGTGGTCTACAAGACTACTGGAGACGTAGCAACGTGTACAGGCGGCCCCTGGCGCCGCACACGGCCTGCCCTGCGGCAGGGCCCCCGCGGGGGCGCGCGCGGCGCGGGCGTGCGGAGCTGCGGAGTCAGCGAGCGGCGGCGGAAGGAGGGGGGGAAAGGTGAATGGGGAGGAGGGGGGGGGGGGGGGGGGGAAGGGGGCCAAGGAGAAGTAGCGCGGGAGGGGGAAAAGGCGGGGAGGGCTAGGGAGGGGGGGAGGAGGAGGGGGAGAGAGGCGAAAGAGGAAGGGGAGGCCCAGCGCCCCAGCCGAATTCAGGTCAGGGCCCCGTAAACCTGGGCACGTTAGACCAGAACATCCAACATCCCACGAAACTAACTATACCCAGACGGGGGCACGAAAAAACTGCAATGCAATTCTGCCAGAATTAACACGGACAAAAACCCCAAAAGCCTGCAGACACCCCCCCCTAAACGCGAACAAAAACCCGAATCCTGCAGTGCAGCAAACAAATACTGCACTGGACGACCAAATTGGAATTTGCAAGAAGTGCTGTCGTTTCCCCGACTTGCCAATGTCCTGTTCAGTCTGTGTCCTGGTCTCGGGGGACCTGATCAAATTAGCCGCCGCTGTCGCAGGACGGCGGAACGGTGGTGAAAGCCGGGATGCGACGCCATTCAGACAGCAAGAGCGGCAAGGGAAGAGAGAGTGGGGAGAACAAATAAACACATGATGATGACAACGGCGAATGCGACAGCGATGGCGATACTGAGGATGGTGGTGATGATGAGTCAAACTGGAAGTAACAGACGGGGTGGATGAGGAGGAGGAGGAGGAGGAGGAGGAGGATGCGAGGGTTAGGTGGAGGAGGGAGAGGACGCGGAGATGAGGAACGAGGCGGGGCCCTGGATTCAAGGTGCTGGTCGTCTTCTTGTTCCCCCATCATTACATGATATGTCGCCGCGCCGATTGTTCTCGACGCGCCCAAGTGGATGACGCCGACACCACGGTAAGCCCACGGCACACCATGCGTCCCGCGCCCGAGGAGACGCAGCCGGCGCCGCGGCAACCCTCATGGCAACCCCTGCGCGCGAGGCGGCGTTTGCCCTGGTGGCCGACGCGCCTTTCCCAAGAGGCAAGGCCGCGCGTCGGATCACACGCGCACGACGACACATGGAGTGAACAACAAGAATATCACACCGCAAAAAAGCTAACCAAATGCGCCCCCAGACTCGCTGGATATCCACGACACTTCGGTTCACGAGGACTCCAAGCCGCCCGTCCTGAACTTGATTCGACGGCGGTGGGGAGCGTCACCACGAAAGCGATGATGACGAAGACGACGACGACGACCACGAGGACTAGCCTCCTACCTTCTTCATGTTCCCTTCCTCCCTCGTTCCCCTCGTCCTGCTGCAATCCCTCCTCTCATTTCCTGCCCTCCCGTTCCTCCTGTTGTTCCTCTGCCTCCTTCGTGGTTGTCCTTCGGTTTCTAACTTTCGCCGTCGTTCTCCAACGTACCAGTCCTCCTTCTCCTCCTCCTCTTCCTCCTCCTCCTTCCTCACCACACGTCCCTCTCCTACGCCCTTTTTTGACGGCAGGCCACCTCCCGCGACATACCCATACAAGAACTGATATGGAGCCCACTGCCTGATGACAAAAACGTTCCCAATCTGAGAGTTTGCCTGGGCGGGGGTGACGGGGGGCGTCGGGGGGCCAGGGCGGGGCCTCCCCGCTTCGGCCTAGCATCACGTCGGCCTGTCCCCCCACAGGGGGATGTTGGACGAAACCAAAAAAATATGAGAGAAAAACATTAAAAATCGTCTGTGCTGTCCAGGAGAGAAAATACATTAAAAATAGGAGAGAAAAAATGGTCCAACAATCGTCTGGAAGATTCCCTCCTGTAGAGGGACAGGCCCGACTTAAGACTAGCAGCGCTGCTGCGCGCGGGACAGTGGCGCCCTCGCCTCGGACTGCGGGCCCGCGGCCCTGGAACGCGGAACCCGCCGCCAGGGGCGCAGCCGCGTCGAGCGGGCAGGCGCCGTCGCCGCTGGCGCGCGGCAGCAACCCGCGGCAGCTGGCAAGAACCTCACCTTCAGACTGCCCACGGGGACGCCCGCTCGCCATGATAACAACATAGGGGAACGAGCTCTAAACACCGACGCTTTTTCCGACCCTGCGATGAAAATCGCACAGGAACGCGGATCCTCGTATATACGGAATCCTGGTGTATGCATTTTTCGCTGCTCCCTTGACAACAAAATTGGGAAGAAGTATGCACCACACCACCCCGACGTCGTCCCCGACCCTCAAAAAGTCGTGGGATTGAGAACAAAACCGCCACTGGTAATGTATAAGCTCCAGTTTCCGACAACAGCTCGGAACCGAAAATTCACATGTGTGGAGGCTGGTGTCGGCTTCGCACACCTCACGGTTCTCCCTTCTCCTCGTACTTCCCTGTCGTCGCCGTCCTTAACGTCCTCCTGGCCCTCCCCGCCCCTGCCCCCCTGCGAGAGGCAAATTTAATAGTCCCGGCGCGGGACCGGTCAGTACCGCGTGCGGCAAACCAGGCAAGAGAATGTGCCGTGCGGGGGGGCACGACGACACAATCCTCCTCCCCCTCCCCTTCACCGTGCACGAAGGGTCGTCCTCCTCCTCCTCCTCCTCCTCCTCCTCCTCCTCCTCCTCCTCCTCCTCCTCCTCCTCCTCCTCCTCCTCCTCTGGCTAACCACCGCCCTTCCTCCTCGTCTCGTGATGCTAGGGGCACCATGGGGCGCTCCTGGGCCTCGACCCCGGAGCCCAGCGCTCCGGCGCCCTCCAGCGCGGCCACGGCGTGGTCCAATAGCACCTGCACGGCGGGCAGCGCCAGCTGGCCAGCGGGGCCAGCCGGCAAGCAACTCCTAGAAGGTTTTCGTGGTAACGACTCGGCCTGGGGCGCGTTCTCATCCAGATTCTGGCAAATTCACTCGCATGGCAATTCCCCCCCATCTCCCCCCCCCAACCCCCACCCATCGCCGCCATTTCGAACAGCGCTTGGCCGAAAGGACGTGCAATTTCGTCCAGACTTCACAAAATCCAGCTCTCCCTCGGGCCTTGCCATGCCTCCCCCCCCGTGCAAGAAAACTTTCCCGACTCTACAGAACATTGGCGGCGAGCGAGGGGGGGGAAATGAGAAGGAGAAGGCCTTCTCAGAAGGCAGCGTATCTTCTCAGAAGCCCTCGCGCCTTCTGAAAAGTTTTCTGTCTTCGGGGAAGGCTTAGAAAACTTCTCAGAAGGCCGGAGGACTTCCGAGCCTTCTGAGAAGGCCCGCCCCTTCTCACTTCCCCCCCTCGCTCGCAGCCGAGAACAAGTGCCCCATATATCCAAATCTCCGACGATCCCTAGATTTCGGCGTCCCCGGGCCAGTATCCCGGACCCACTACTACCCCAAGGAAGGGGTCGGAGCCTCGAGGGAGCTTCGGATTGAACAGCGCATAGCGGCGGCTGTCAGGGTGTGAAAGACAAGGGCTCCAAAAGGCGGCGTAACCCAGATTGAATCCAATATTCGGCGGTGGACAAACCTTCAAACCTCCCTTTAGTAAACCTCCCTTTTAGTGAAAACGGCCTAGGACCGAAACCGACGGACCTGGACCCGCAAAGATGACGGCCGCGACGGCCCTCGCGAACCGAAAACGGCCAATTCGCTAATCGAAGTGTCAGGGTAGGAGGTCTATCCGCTCCCGAAATATAACCCCCAGTTGAAGCGAAGCATGCCGGATCAAACTCGTTTCCGACCATGGATTTACCAGCGCCGATGCTACAGTCAACCTGCCAGGACCTGCATCCTAACAAGGCTGGCAAGCGCGCGGGTCTCCGCGCGCCTAACTACCCGAGCCCAACACGCCAATCGCTCACCATCCAGCGGCACGGCGGGCCCCAGGATCAAAGGCCCAGGATAACGAGGACCTGCCAGGCCGCGGGAGACACAAACACACACACACACACATACACACACATGCACGCACGCACGCACGCACGCACGCACGCACACCCACCCGTACACCCGCACACCCGCACACCCGCACACCCGCACACCCACCCACACACACGCACACGCACACGCACACACGAACACGCGAACACGCACACGCACGCGCACACGCACACGCACACGCACACGCACACGCGCACACGCACACGCACACGCACACACGCACACGCACACGCACACGCACACACACACACACACACACACACACACACACACGCGCACGCACACGCACACGCACACGCACACGCACACGCACATGCACATGCTGCACACGCACACACGCACACGCACACACGCACACACGCACACACGCACACCCCCACGCGCACAAACACACGCCCACGCCCACGCCCAAGCACACACCCACGCCCACGCCCGCGCCCACGCCCACGCCCACGCCCACGCCCACGTCCACGCCCACGCCACGCCCGTGCCCACGCCCACGCCCACGCCCACGCCCACGCCCACGCCCACGCCCACGCCCACGCAAACGCCCACGCCCACGCCAGCGCAAGCGCACACGCACACGCACACGCACACGCACACGCCCACGCCCACGCCCGCACACGCACACGCACGCACGCACGCACGCACGCACGCACACCCACCCGTACACCCGCACACCCGCACACCCGCACACCCGCACACCCACCCACACACACGCACACGCACACGCACACACGAACACGCGAACACGCACACGCACACGCACACGCACACGCACACGCACACACGCACACACGCACACGCACACGCACACGCACACGCACACGCACACACACACACCGTGATGAGAATTGAAAGCCCAGAACAATCCAAGCTGAATGCCAGAGTGCCTAAGACCACTAACGGTCCCAAGAGTAAGCCCAAGACATCAAACTCGGAAAGCCGAAAGGCTAGTACAGTAGACTGCAATCTATATGCGTATGTTTTTGTCAAGGCGAGCCCTGGGTGCGTTTCCTGAGCGGCTCCTGCAAAACGCACTCCCGCCGTCACTCGACGGGCCTCGAGAGATGCGGCAGCGGCAGCATTAACAATGAGAGAACAAGGCAAAGCAAGCTGGCTGAAATGGTGCTGATGTGGACGCTGGCGCACTCCCTCTCTGGGCCTCGCGCCCGCGGAGGCGATATTAGAATCAATATCAAATGTGAGAAAGAGCACAAGCACACACACACACAGCCTCCCTATACAGGTAGATGGGCGGGTAAAACACAAGCATCAAAATCAGAAAAGGGAGTCTGACTTATCACATGGTTGCGTCGGTCCGCGGCCTTCCTGCAGACCCAAGTTAAACGCACCAGCGAAACAAGAGAGACGCTAGGTTGCCAACAATGGGCCTTGCTGCGAGCTTTGTCAAACGTGCCAGGAGGATGCTACCAAGACTGAGCATACCTGGCCACAAAGTTATGCCTGCTATCACATTAAGGCCATTCCCCTGGCCTTCAAGAGACAAGCTACCATCGTCTGCGGCTAAACCACCAGGGAAGAAGGAGGGGAACATGGGTGCCAGAAAGCATGCGCCGATCCAGTGTCCGATAAAGGACGGCAAGACATGTGAAATAGCGTGGCTAATTCCCCCAAAGATAGTGGTGAGCCATATTCTGAAATTAAAGACAAATATCGCTGCTTGCACGGCGCACCATAAGCACATGAGCGTGCAAAGGGAGACAATGAAGCCAGAGAGGGATGAAAAAGAGTTGGGAAAAAGATAGGATAAGCATGTGCGTGCATAACTCATGAGCTCACGACCCGAAGACGTCGTCGAGACAACAGCTCCCCAAGAAGACAGGGCCTGGACCTTGTCACAGATATCAGCAGATTCTAAAGCTTCGTGGTGAGGAGCTCATGCTGCGGGTGGCGCCTGCTGCATGGCGGTGTTCGCCCACTCCCCATCCTCGTCAAGAAACTGAAACAAGAGCGTGCCCATAGCAGTCAGGTCTTTGCCATCCACCTGCGCCTCGCTGGCTCCGAGCGACTTGAGTTTTCGACGCCACTGGTCGAGTCCTTTCTTCTTGCCAATCTCCGTCCACCAAGCCAAGTATGGAAGTCCACCCTCGGGAATCGTCGCAGCCCACTGCGATACATCAGCTCGATCCTTTGACACGCCAAGAAGCGACACTGCGGTCTCGTGCATCTGCTTAGTCATCATGGGGTTCATGACGGGCCCATTCTCGTGGACTGCTGGAACACCCTGATCTGCTCCTTTGCCGTGACCTTTGGGACTAGGAGCGTTCCAACTGCCTTTGCCGCCGTTGCCGCCTAAGCTACCCTCGAGCAAGTTACGAAGCGCACGTACATCATCTGAGGTGGTGGATGTCGACTGCTGGATGCTGGCAAGCTGATCGCCGTGATTTTTTATTTGTCCCTGCACCTCTGCGAGCTCAGCCTTCATCTTCTTAATCACAGGGTTATCCTCCAAGCGCTCGCCATCGCCTTTGTCCAATCCTGCGGCCTCATGGAGGCGCTTGATGGTCGCCTGCAGCTTGCTGTCTGAGCCCTGCGCACCGCCCATGACGTCCGAGAGGGCTATCGCAAGGTCGCGCGCGGGCTGGTTGACCGAGGCCATCCGTGGGACGTGCTGGTGCTGGTACTGTGGTTGCTGGACCTGTTGCTGCTGCTGCTGCTGCTGCTGCTGGGTAAGGTTGTTGCCAATAGTATTGTCCGCCTGTGCGATGATCTGGCTAATGCGGCCCATCTCACCGAAGGCCCGCATGCCGTCGATCATACCACTCCACTGACCAAGCATGGAAGAGATGCCGTTGCCGCCGTAACCCTTGCCGCCGCCGTAGTACTGATTGTAACCTTTGCCACCGCTGTGCCAGTCACCTCCAGCGCCGGCCTTGGCAGCTCCGGTTTTGCCACCAGATGGATGACCCATCTCCTGAGACCGTCGAGAGAAAGGAGGTAGTTGTACACGCTCGTACAAAAGGTCACTGACGTGGTCTAACTGAGACGATATGGCTGCGGCAGACGGGATGAGATGAGAACAGGTACGCTGGACCAAGTCGAGGCAAAGGTTTACGAGGTCGTTCTTCTCTCCTTCGGGGTATATCTGGCGCCAAACTCGACGAACGATTTTACTGGGATAACCTGAACGATACATGAAGGCCATGTCGATGGAGATAATGATTATAAAGTCGATGGTATCTGGTCGAAGTCGCTCCCAATTATGAATGCGCCCTCGAAGCTCGGATCGAAGCTGTCCTAGTTCACGACGGCTGAGACGACCAAGGTAGGGAATCATGTTCTGTTTTTTTAGCTTGGTTAAGTCCCCACTTAGAACGTACTCTTCATTCTTGTGTTGTGGTATAGATCGAATGCCGTCAAAGCCCCAAACCACTAGAGCGTCAAGATATCGGAAGAGGACCGTTGTCTCAAACTGTTCAAACCCATGATCAAGTTAAAACCACAGCTTTTTTATATATCAAACGCATTTGCCGCCAAAGACACGATCTACAGACACGATAAGAGAGCAGAATCGTATCATCAACATATCGACCTGATGCTACTTCAGAAGATCTTCTGGAGGTAGTCGGACGGGGCCTAGGATTCTCATCATACAAATATTCAAGATAACAAAGTACCAAGTGTAAGATGGCGCCCGATAGAGGTCCACCAATGGGTATCCCAGAGAGCTGAGCAAGAGCAAGGCCTGAGAGGGCGAAGTAACGAAACCCCAAGAAGCCCTCGATTGCCCTTTTGAGGCTCTGGAAAACGAAGACCGTCCTATCCCAATGCCGCACACCGAGCTTGCCTCCCAAGACTACTTGGGACGTGGATGTGTGCATGACAGACAGCGCACGTGTGGTGAGCTTCTGCGCGGCACGATCAAACAAGGAATCCACAGCCAGGCGAATATCCTGAGGCGCCAATGCCTCATACGCCTGTCCAGCGTCGGCAACAACAAATCCTGGATGATCCATGCACTTGCGGCAACGTACACATACACACTGCTGCGTGCCAGGGAGACAGTACGGAGGTGCCAGAAGTCCTACAGCAACATCTAGCTCTTCGAACGCCGAGTCGAGACCTTTGAAACTCCAGCCTGGGAATATGAGGTTGGTTAGAAACACGATGCCCCTGGAGATCTTCTGATATAAACGTCGTCCTGGAAGTCGATAAAAGCTGCAGATGTTACGTAGACATGAATGCCCTGGTTTTTGGCAGATCTTTTCACCCGTATCCTGGAAGCACTTACGTTTCACAGTAGGATAGCAGTATGGTAAATGACGATAACTTATACACCGTTGATTAGGGGGCCGTAGGCTTTTCGGGACGCTGAAGTCACACGTGAATCTGTACCATTGTAGTATATGTGTATGTGGTAGGACATTTAGACGCCATCTTTCATGTGCATGTGATATGAGCCCAAGCCACCTCATCTGCATGTGCCTGACGCTAGTCCCCCAGAGCGTGCGTGGATCTTTATCCTCGACAGTGAACGTGACAAACTTTTTTGCGTAATCAAGTGCTGTGCACAATCTATCAAGTGCCTGCAACTGTAAAGTCGTGGTCGAAGCTGGCGTCGGTGCTGGAGTCGCGCTGACCACAGCCGGAAGAAAACGCAGAAAAGCGCCGTCCAGTCCTGAACGGCGAAGCCACACAGCACACTGACTGTAGGCGTTGAAGGATAGATTTCCAACGTCACTGTAAAGCCATGGAAGTCGACCACTGACAGGAATACGAAAAAGATCTGATCCGTTCGACGCGATCTGTAAGTCGTCGGCAGTGACAGTTTTGAGGAGCTCTACTGGTGATCTCTCAAGATCCTGATGCATACACATGCAATGTTTCTGCAGCGTCTTCCGTGCTGAAACTGTGATACGAATCTGGCGTCGTACCAAAAGTGTCCACGCAGGCCTGGATGTCGAAGCCTGGTCAAGAACAACCTTAAGCCACCTACGTACTATTGGTACATCATTGTCATGTTCCACAAGGATGCTAACGCCTCCTGGCCGTGGGAGTCCGCGAAGAGTTAAATGAGAGGCAATTGCCGCCTGCACAATCGATTTCTCCCGCCAGAAGGGAAAAACTGTACACAAGCCCCAGAGAGTGCATAGGTAATCTGAATTGCCGTCCTTAAATGCAATGACATGTTGCCAAATAATCTGTGAAGGCTTCCAAGCGCAGAACCGTAAGAGGAGAATGGCACAATGTGGATCGTAGATTGTGATGGGACCAAAACTGTGCGTCTGCATAACATGTCGGCGCATGAAGAAGTCGTATGCACTATAGAAATGTCCACGTAAAACTGTTGCCCATTCCCGTGTACGTTCACGTTTACGAGTGTGTCTAAGATGGAACTCCCGAAGTGCTCGAAATCGTGCTTGCTGCCAAAGATCCTGTGATTGAAGCTCGTTGGGGCCCCGAGGGAGGTGTAGGTGCCGTTGTGTTCGAGACCTTCTTTTCCTGGGGGGTTTACCAGTCTGAGAGCGCGTGGAGGTCCTGAGGGGGCCCAGACTTATGGAGTCGTTGTTATGTTTGCTGGTGTTGTTAGCCTCGGGCGTAGCATAGGCTATGTATGAGGACTCCACTGCATTTATGGCCAGCGACGGGGTAACCTCCAGGAATATGATGGATATGGTATGCTGGTGATGTGCGCTCAGTAGAGCAAGATAACGTGCTCGGTCAGCAAGCGGCTTACCCGGAGCACATAATCTGAGAGACTTAAAGTGTTCACGTGCTCGTGCAATACCTCCTGCATGTGCGCCTGCACTTCTATGTATGCGCCCCTGTCCAATATACCTGGCGCACGAACCTATCTGGTAAATGAACGAAGATGTACGAAGTGAAGGCGATGATGAACCGAAAATACACTGCAGCTGTAGGCTGAGGATATCGCAGATGTCTAAAATCTCCAGAAAATTGGCCCATCCAGGCCGTGATATAGCACGTTGTAGGTCTGCAGTCATGGGAAGGCAACATCTTTGAGCAACACCACGGGGCCTGCGACCTGATGTCCAGAGCTGCCGAAGATACAGCAGATAGTGGGAGGTCATGAGGCATGCGTACATGCTGCTAAAGTGCGTACTCCCATGTGTGCGCTCACCTGCAAACCACGGGGAAAACTCTCTAAGAAGGTGTTCAATCATTCGAAGGAAATGTGATGATGGCAAAGGCCGCGACATATGCCATAGCGTCGCCAACATAATCTGTCGGGCAAGCACAAGAGTGGACGTCTCAGGTACACCTGCAGTCTGAAACATAAGGGGGGCAGCAATGAGATCTGTCCACGACGTGATCAGGATAATCTGTTGTTGGAAAGTATGATCCACAGCAGCATGAGGGAGATCTTGGAATGAACTTCTGGTCTGGAATGCTGTTCGCAACGCTGTGTCTATGGTGTCCGTGATCGTGATTGGGGATGTTCCTGCATCAGAAAGTCTGACGCTGAAGCCGAGCAACCATAGGAGTCGAACTGCAA